TTTCTTACGCAAAATGAAGAAGTTTTCGTTGGCTACACTATAAAAAGGCCTCTACTTGCACAGATAAATAGTTATAGATATTATGTAGAAATTTTATGACCTTGGAAACCCATGAGGATTCATGATCAAATCAGGACAAATCCCACGCTCAGAAAATGGAAAATCTTCCTGCTGAACAATTGTACCACAGACACCTTTCTGCCCATGCCTACTACTGAACTTATCACCAAGCTACATAAAAAACAGGCAGACCAAGGCATCATTAACACTGTGGAACATGAGGCTTAGGGCTAAAAACAGAACAGTACTCAAGATAAACTTTCTCACTTCTGGTCGACGAGTATGTCGGATAATATATTTGATGCATAAATGGTTCTTAACAGAACAGATACCAACTCTATCAACCACTTGTGTCTCCCCTTCAGGACCTTTGAAATACTCTCTGGCTGAACGATATTGACTGAAAATTGCACAACAGATTGGACATCTTGCTTACAGTTTTAAGAAACATCATATGGGAAAAGTTTGTGGGGTACCTATCAGGTAGCGGAGTTGGCATCACGTCTCTTGTGTTTATAGGGACTTGTTTATTTATATAGACATCATTTGGTCTAATAATTTCCCCTGGAGCAGCAATTCCATCATCATCCAGTATCTTCAAGAGAAACAAAATAGTCAACATGATAACATATTCATCATGTTTCAGCAGAGAAAAAGGCCACAGTCAAGCAAACAAGGAAAAGGAATAAAAAAGGAAGATGCCTAAGCTGGGGCACTCTCACTTGGATAAGCGCAATAAGAATTCGCATATTCAAGCACAGAATATGAGAGTTTATGCCAGTTATGTCATAACTTCTATGCAGAGTCAAATTTTGTTAATGAAGTGTCTATTTAGAGAAAAAGCAGACAGTCATGGGAATGTACAATTTCAAATAAGCAACAACCATACTGTGCTTGCTCCCTCCAATAAGAAATAGAGAAGTTAACAAATGTATAATGTGCTCGATGCATTATTTAGGACTGATTCCACAGCATCTAAAATATCCAGAAAGAATTAGCGTTGTTGAAGAATTAGCGTTTGCAACAACGCTAATTCCAAAAGATAGCAAAGTTTTTAAAAATGACTTCACAAGTCTTAGGATATGTCTGCAAGAGAAGGAAAATTGAGGGCACATGCAGGCAAAATGTACTACCTGCATCTTTTCTGCGTCTGGACCTGTTCTTTGTGGCATGAGTATTCTGTCTTCTGTTTTGTTTTCATAACTCTGGGTCGTAACAACAAGTCTGTTTCACAAGACAACACAACGCGAGAAGCAATAGTTAATGTGAGACGATTTCTCAAAGGAAATGAATTTTGCCTCCAAGAGAAATCCATAACATACTTTTTCATAACAATGCAGCGGCCAAACCCACGATCCAAGGAAGATTTGTTCATTACTATCGCATCCTCTATGTCGTATCCAGTATTACTCATCACAGCAACTGTTGCATTTTGACCAGCTCCGAGTTTATCGTATCCAACCTGTTAACAAGCATAATTTATTAGTACCATGTTATTAACACAACCCTATAAGAGGAAAGAAACTTACCAGTTCAATTGTCCTTGTTGTTAACAGGGGTCGCTGAGGATAGACCAATAGGTAAAGCAATGTGTCCATCCGGTTTAACTAAATATAAAGATTTTTTGAAAAAAAGTCAGTGCCTGAGATAGCAAGATATACCAAATGATGCAATGGGGAGGATTAGGTAGACTTCAGACAACCAACTTAATAAAGCAAGACTTGAGATCGCACAATAGGCAACAATTGATCCAATCAAGTCACCAAAACCGGAAAGCAATAGTTTGTGCCTCAATGAAATGATATGAAGAGCATAAATGGACTTGCCTGGTTGAAAGCAATATTTCCCATAGCTTGTTTTCCCATAGCACACTGCACATAGCATAACAAGACTAATAACGAGAAGCAAACCAACAGAAATTGCAGCTTCTTATGTCAGATTGTCAAGAAACACAAACCTGATAAGTATTTCTTGGTGACTGATTATGGTGAGGGTAGGGAATAAGACCAGCAACAACACCTAAGATGGTGAAAGGTTCAATCTCAATGTGGGTTGTGTTTTCCCTTAATTTTTTAGCTTCTGCTCTTTCTGCCTTTTTGGCTATTTTCCTAGGAGCTTCACTTTCGTATAAAGCAATCTTAAACCAAGGAAAAAGAGCAGTGTATCATTTTTGGCTGCCTGTGGTGCAGTAGAATATATACATCTCGAAAATATGGAGACTGACACGAACCAGTGCATTATTTTCTTCATTGACATCAAGATACTCGATCAAACCGTCACGAATAAAGTCATCAAAAGTGCGAATACCATCCTTCAAGGAAAGGAAATACAAATCAGTCACCCAATTACTTTACCTCAAACAACTAAGACAAGTATGTATGACTCTGGGAGTGTATAACACATGTACCTGTAAATCCTTCATGTGGTGTTGTTTGACTCTTGATACTCCTTTATCAGCTATAACAAGTGGACGACACACCCGCCCACCATCAGATGCAACGTAAACACAATGCTGATAAACATTTTTCTTCGGAGTTAGTTTCAGTTAACACTTGTGGATTCATAAGAAACACTTTGCAGGGATTCAGGAAGTAATTGCTTCCTTCAGTCTTTATTAGCAACCATCTACGAAGTTATAGTTTTATAAATGACATCCTCAGCTGTATTTCTACTCCAAAAATCACTCTAAGGGC